CAAAATTATAATTCGTGTTGTCGAGAATGTATCTCCTCTACGTGTAACTTTTAAGTGGTATGCCTTGTAACTGATGAATGATCTCGCCCGAGTGATCTGTACAGGTTACTTCTAAACACACACACTTAATCACTCTAGATTTGAACACTTCATGTTTGACCCTCACAGACAAAATGTTACATGTACATGCACAATCAGACAAGTATTCATTCTAAATTATTGACAGGCATATTAACAAAATTGAATTACTGCAGCGAAACATACTGCATCAGGCAACATCGTATTAACAAGAAGCTATTTTAACACATACTATTGTGTCATTCAAAACGAGTAGTCCATTGCATGCTGGCGTCTGGGTCAAAACGTAGCAAATTCTAAACATTACCTACAAATAATAGATCACGACGTTTCGATCGCAACGCAAGCAGTCGCCATCAGCTGGGACCACGTCAATAACTGCTGAAGTTGGCGTCTACCTCAGTTGGTGATGATGGTGGTGATGGTGGTGATGGTGGTGATTGTGGTTGTCACACCTGATGACGATCGCTTGTGTTGCCATCGAAACGCCGTGATCTAGAATTTTTCGACCCACGTGACGTCACCGAAAGAACTAAAGAGTGTGGATTCCTGCAGTCACAAAAGCTTCAAGTCAAGATCACCTACAAACGACACAGCTGAGATTACACATCAATCATCGCCACTACTGACAGGCTCGTGTTCACATGCAGGCTGGTCAAGGGCCACCACCTTGTGCCACACAGGGGCAGCTGCTACTTGGGGATGCTCTTCGCGTGTTTCAGACAAGCGCCATGCAACAGCAATTATGATGAGAACATCGTGAATGCTTGGGGGCTTATTGGCTCTCGCTCCTGGTGAGAGACCGACCCAACCCACAGGTCCACTAAGACTGGCCACTCGTCTTCTTGCTTCTTTCGGTAAAGTCGTCACGTAGAAGGGAAGTAATAAAATAATAAAAATAAAACACAATAAAACAATTCTCACGACGTTTCGGCCACAACGCAAGCAGCCGTCCTCAGGTGAAAACCAGGTCTGTCGAGGCGACAGCGTCTGAATGAAACAGCACACGCGCTTGGAGCATATAAGCTGGGCGCCTTGACAAAGGAATTTGCATATCAAGAGGCATTTAGCATATTTATGAGAAATGCAGGTATGTGATTAGTACCACTTATGCCCGTGCATTATGCAGAATTAGCAGCATCAAAGGAAGGGGATAGGGGTAGCATTAACAAAGGGAAGGAGTGTTAATAGTATGTAGCTGCAGTAACTGGCCACTCACTCTTACCCTGCAGGTTGAACCCAGGAACTGAGTGTTCAACTTCACGTTATTGTCATTAAAGGCCTGTGACAAAGGAGCATCTATTGCAGCGACATCGTCTCTGGCTTACTCATCTACCGGGTCTCCATTTGACTTTGTGTTGTCTAGGAAGTCCAGCCACACCTCCACAAACTGCTGGGAGTTTCGATTTAAAGCTTTCCTGACTGCAGGGATTCATCTTCTTGGTTCTTTCACCTGAGGACAGCTGCTTGCGTTGTGGCCGAAACGTCGTGAGAATTATGTGATCATGTTTTATTTGTATTATTGTATTACTTCCCTTCTACGTGACTTTACCGAAAGAACCAAGAAGATGCTTGGAGTTGCCTTACTCTGCCTCACAGTCAGAATTCTCCTCCTGCTTCACGTTGCCTCCATCGATGTGAAGGTCCCATTTTGGAGTTGATTCTTCATCTTCACATTTTACCTTCACTTCTTCGCTCTTCACCATCACCTCTTCACATTTCACCTTCACCTCTTCATATTTCACCTCGTTACCTTTAAAAGTGTCCAAGCTGGGATTTTCTTCCGGTTCATGTTTGATGAGGGATGGGCTCATTGCAGCACTTTGACTTTCACAAGCTGATTTCAGACTCCACTCCTGGTGGATATTCTGATGCTTGTGCATTCTCTGGTGTACATGAAGATGTTCTGACTGTGCAAACGCCTTCCCGCACGGAGTGCACCTGAAGGGTTTCTCTCCCGTGTGTGTTCTCTGGTGTTTTATAAGAGAAGATGACCGTGAAAATGCCTTCCCACACACAGTGCACTTGAAGGGTTTCTCTCCCGTGTGGGTTCTCTGGTGTGCTTGAAGATGTGGTGATTGTGCAAACGCCTTCCCACACACTGCACTTGAAGGGTTTCTCTCCCGTGTGTGTTCTCTGGTGTTTTATAAGAGAAGATGACCGTGAAAATGCCTTCCCACACACACTGCACTTGAAGGGTTTCTCTCCCGTGTGTGTTCTCTGGTGTGTTTTAAGATTTGATGACTGTGTAAATGCCTTCCCACACACAGTGCACTTGAAGGGTTTCTCTCCTGTGTGTGATCTCTGGTGTTTTTTAAGAGAAAATGACCGTGAAAATGCCTTCCCACACACACTGCACTTGAAGGGTTTCTCTCCCGTGTGGGTTCTCTGGTGTTTTATAAGAGAAGATGACATTGAAAATGCCTTCCCACACACACTGCACTTGAAGGGTTTCTCTCCCGTGTGGGTTCTCTGGTGTGCTTGAAGATGTGGTGATTGTGCAAACGCCTTCCCACACACACTGCACTTGAAGGGTTTCTCTCCCGTGTGTGTTCTCTGGTGTTTTATAAGAGTAGATGACCGTGAAAACGCCTTCCCACACACACTGCACTTGAAGGGTTTCTCTCCTGTGTGTGTTCTCTGGTGGATCTGAAGAAATGATGGCCATGCAAACGCCATCCCACACACAGTGCACTTGAAGGGTTTCTCTCCTGTGTGTGTTCTCTGGTGGATCTGAAGAAATGATGGCCATGCAAACGCCATCCCACACACAGTGCACTTGAAGGGTTTCTCTCCTGTGTGTGCTCTCTGGTGGTGTGTAAAATTTCCAGTCCGCTCCGTGCTGTATCCACGCTGGTCGCATTGTTGCCTTGCCGTACCGAGCTGTGCTGAGCGCCTTTGCTCCATCAGACCAAGCGACAGCTGCAGACAGAAAAAAATTATATCCACACCACCTACACGTCAGACACAGAGTAATGCATATACACAGTCACACGTGACTTACACGTCTATACTTATTCATATATTCATGATGTAGTGAAAAAGTTTCCCAAATTCATCACACAGGCTGTTATTGCACACAATGAGAGGGCAAATAGTCATAAATATGCCTGGAAGCCCTCGTATCTCCGTGGTGAGATGTTAACTACCTCACCTGGTATACAAGAAGTCGTGGGTTCGATCCCGACCCTGACGCCTGCTGCTGTATATTTGGAGTTTGCGTGTCTCTCTCTCTCCGTGGTGAGATGTTAACTACCTCGCCTGGTGTACAGGAAGTCGTGGGTTCGATCCCGACCCTGACGCCTGCTGCTGCTGTATATTTGGAGTTTGCGTGTCTCTCTCTCCGTGGTCGCGTGGATTTTCCTCCGAATCTCCCGGGTTTGCCCTCCACATTTAGAGTCAACATCAGCACGTGATTAGCGTCTTTGACCGATACACATTTCCACACGTATTCTTGGTTCTTTCGGTAAAGTTACGTAGATAGACAATAACAACAGATAACATCAAATAAATGCCACTTGTGTTGTGATAGAAACGTCGTGGTTTTATTTACAATTTTGTTTACTTTTATTCATTTTATTATCTGTTATTTTTAATACATTTTCTATCTCCGTGACTTCACCGAAAGAACCAAGAATATGAATTGCTGCAGTTACGAAAGTTTTAAGTCAAAACATTGACACACGCGTTGACAAAACCCCCCATACCTTGTTGTTGTTGTGGGCAGGTAGCTTCTGTAAACTAGAGCGGTACAGCAGCTCAGGCGGGCTTGGGCTGGTAAAAAACGAAAAAAAAAACTGCCTTAATATCTACAATAAACCAAAGTGACAAAGTAGCGAGCCGCGTGAAGACAAATTAAACTTAAGGGAGGGAATTAAAGCAAACGCGACCAGGCGAGGGCAGGAGGCAAGGCCCCGCGTGTCTAGGCCCCGCGTTGTAAAGTTCCAACTTGGACATCGATTCACAAGCTGCTGCTGCTCTAGTGACATCCCTACGAGAGAGAGAGCGAGGCTCTAGCTTGGTAAACAACAACCACAACAACAACAACCACAACAACAACAACCACAACAACAACCACAACCGCAATGAAAATTTCTCACCTCGGATTGCAGTTCACGCGCGGACCTCCAGCTTCCTGTTACCTCGTGACGTCACGCGGCAGCAGATGACATGACGTCACTTCTGGGGTACAAGACCCTCCCCTCCCACAATGAGAGGCTACCCTAACTGAATAAATTAATAAATTATGTTGATGTTTGCGATCATCAACATTATCAATAAACATCATTTACACCATCATATACAACAACATCAACATCATCAGCAGCATCAACAACAACAACATCAGCAGCAGCAACATCATCAGCAACATCATTAATAACATCATCTACACCATCATCAGCAACATCATCACCACCCCTAGCATCAGCAGCAACAACATCATCAGCAGCAGCATCAACAACAACATCATCAGCAACATCAACAACAACATCATCAGCATCAACAACAACAACATCAACAGCATCAACATCAACAGCATCAACATCAACAACAACATCATCAACAACAACAACAGCATCAACATCAACAACAACATCATCAGCATCAACAACAACAACAACATCAGCAACATCATCATCATCAGCAGCAAAAACAACAACATCATCAGCATCAACAACATCATCAACAACATCATCATCAGCATCGACAACAACAACATCAGCATCAACAACATCATCAACAACATCAGCAACATCAACAACAACATCAACAACAACAACATCATCAGCATCGACAACAACAACATCAGCATCAACAACATCATCAACAACATCAGCAACATCAACAACAACATCAACAACAACAACATCATCAGCATCAGCAACATCAACAACAACATCAGCAACACCGTCACCATCTAGAACAGAGGGGAGGGAAGACTGCGGCCTAGTCGGCCTCGGGCCATCCCGAGTTTTCCTAGCGGACCCGCCGCGCCCGGAGCGCCTCCCCCGGCAGGAGTCGGGATCGAATAACGGGTCCGCCGGGCGTGGTGAACACACACACACACAGTGTACACACACACACAGTGTACACACACACAGTGTACACATACAGTGTACACACACACACATTGTACACACACAGTGTACACACACACAGTGTACACACACTACACACACACAGTGTACACACACACATTGTACACACACACAGTGTACACACACACTGTACACACACAGTGTACACACACACAGTGTACACACACACTGTACACACACACTGTACACACACAGTGTACACACACACACACATTGTACACACACAGTGTACACACACAGTGTACACACACAGAGTGTACACACACACACACATTGTACACACACACACACAGTGTACACACACACAGACAAACAGACACAGACACACAGACACACACAGTGTGTACACACACACAGTGTACACACAGACTCACAGTGTACACACACACAGACACACACACAGAGTGTACACACACACACAGTGCACACACAGACACACATACACAGTGTACACACAGACACACAGTGTACACACAGACACACAGTGTACACACACACACAGACACACACAGTGTGTACACACAGTGTACACACACACACAGACACACAGTGTGTACACACAGACACTCCAACACACACACACAGTGTACACACAGACACACACACACACACAGACACACACAGTGTGTACACACAGACACTCCAACACACAACCGGTTAGTGCTGCTCCAGTGACAGATTGGCACGGTATGTCACGTGATAAACCTTGCGAATTGGCTGTCGGCTGATGGCCGGTTTAACGACACGCAAACATTCAAACTTAATTTGGAGTTGGAGTTTGTGTCTCTCTCTCATCATCACGGTGGCTAGGAGATGTTAACTCCCTCGCCTGGTATGCAGGAGGTCGTGGGTTTGATCCCGATACTGAAGATTCTTGCTGTATATTTGGAGTTTGTGTGTCTCTCTCATCATCATCACGGTGGCTAGATGTTAACTACCTCGCCTGGTATGCAGGAGGTCGTGGGTTTGATCCCGATACTGAAGATTCTTGCTGTATATTTGGAGTTTGTGTGTCTCTCTCATCATCATCACGGTGGCTAGGAGATGTTAACTACCTCGCCTGGTATGCAGGAGGTCGTGGGTTCGATCCCGGCCCTGGCGACGCCTACTGTTGTATATTTGGAGTCTGCGTGTCTCTCTCTCTCTCATCATCAGTGAGTGGGTGAGTGGGTGGGAGAGTGTGTGAGCGAGTGGGTGTGTGGGTGAGTGGGTGGGTGAGTGTGTGAGGTGAGTGTGTGTGCAGGTGAGTGTGTGAGCGAGTGTGTGTGCGGGTGTGTGTGCGGGTGAGTGTGCGGGTGAGTGTGCGGGTGAGTGTGCGGGTGAGTGTGCGGGTGAGTGTGTGAGGTGAGTGTGTGAGGTGAGTGAGTGAGCGAGTGGGTGTGCGGGTGAGTGGGTGGGTGAGTGGGTGGGTGAGTGTGTGAGCGAGTGTGTGAGCGAGTGGGTGTGCGGGTGGGTGAGTGGGTGGGTGTGTGAGCGAGTGGGTGGGTGGGTGAGTGTGTGAGCGAGTGGGTGTGCGGGTGAGTGGGTGGGTGAGTGTGTGAGCGAGTGGGTGTGCGGGTGAGTGGGTGGGTGAGTGTGTGAGGTGAGTGTGTGAGCGAGTGGGTGTGCGGGTGAGTGGGTGGGTGAGTGTGTGAGCGAGTGGGTGTGCGGGTGAGTGGGTGGGTGAGTGTGTGAGCGAGTGGGTGTGCGGGTGAGTGGGTGGGTGTGTGAGCGAGTGGGTGGGTGAGTGTGTGAGGTGAGTGTGTGAGCGAGTGGGTGTGCGGGTGAGTGGGTGGGTGAGCGGGTGAGTGGGTGGGTGAGTGTGTGAGCGAGTGGGTGGGTGAGTGTGTGAGCGAGTGGGTGGGTGAGTGTGTGAGGTGAGTGTGTGAGCGACTGGGTGTGCGGGTGAGTGGGTGGGTGAGTGTGTGAGTGACTGGCTGTGTGAGGTGCGTGGATGGGTCAGTGAGTGGATGAGTGAGGAGGGGTACCAGGTCGTCTACTGGGGGTGAGGGGTCCTTATACAGGGCGGTTCAAAGGTCAAGACACAGTTTCTTGGGTTTCTATTTTATTGTGATTTTCCGAGTTTACAAAGGTAGCTCTCTCTCCATCCGTCTCTCCACTCTCTCTTCCTCTCTCCACTGCTGGGCCTGTAGGCTTGGCCCGAGCGAGTTCCCGCCTTTTCACGAGTTGATTCCGCCCCCCGCCGTGGCTTTGTCGGCACGAGGCTTCTGCGCCGGTGAGTGTCAAGGACTCCAACGGGCCCCAAGCCGCTGCCCCGTCGTCACCGCCGCCGTGGACAAAGCGCCGAGGCTCGACATCATGAGCTGCGTGGAGAGGGACCTGCTGGACCTCGTGTTGCGCACGGGCTACAACATCGTCCAGGAGAACGGACAGAGGAAGCTGGGACCGCCGCCCGACTGGCAGGGCCCCCCTCCCGCCCGCGGCTGCGAGGTGTTTCTGGCGAGGATCCCGCGCGACCTGTACGAGGACGAGCTGGTGCCCGTGCTGGAGGCGGTGGGGCGGCTGTACCAGCTGCGCCTCATGATGACGTACCACGGAGAGAACCGCGGCTACGCCTTCGCCACCTTCGCGACGCGCTCGCAAGCCGCGGACGCCGTCAGGAGACTCCACAAGTCGGAGATCCGCCCGGGGCAACGGATCGCGGTTCACGTGAGCGTCGACAATCGCCGCCTCTTCTTGGCGGGGCTGCCGAAGGTTAGGACGCGGGCCGAGGTGATGGCGGCAATGAGCGACGTCACGGAGGGCGTCGTGGACGTCCAGATGCGCTTCTGTCGCCACGACAGGAGCCACAGCCGAGGCTTCGCGTTCGTCGAATACGAGAGCCACCGCGCGGCCTGCATGGCCCGCAGGGTGCTGCTGCCGTACTCCTTCCGGCTGTGGGGCCGAGACATCCACGTGGACTGGGCCATCCCGCAGCGAGACCCGGGGGCGGCGGCTGCTGCTGCTGCTGCCGCGGCGGTGGTGGTGGTGGCAACGGAAGACGACGAGGAAGGGGGGGAGGAGGCGGTGGCAACTGAAGATGAGGAGGGGGGGGGGGGAGGAGGCGGTGGAGGAGGAGGTGGAGGAGGTGGGGGAGGAGGAGGTGGGGGAGGAGGAGGCAATGGAAGACGAGGAGGAGGTGGCGGCAGTCCCAGGCCTCCCGCCGCCGGAGTGCGCCGTCTCCGACAAGGCCCCGCACAACCTGTTTGTGGGCTGGGCGGCGCACACGCTGCTCTGGCGGGCACCTCACCACCCGTGGCCCACGCCAATCGGTCTGGACGAGCTGCCGGAGACGGCCGTCTTGTCGTGGGAGACGCGTTTGCAGGCGCTGCTACGGAGCGCCGGCGTGGGCCACGCGACCTTCGAACTGCACGCTCACTCGGAGCCCGGCAGGCCCATGGGCCTCCTGTACAAGGTCTCCGTTCCCGGGATGATGCGGGAAGGCAGCGGCTTCTTCCCCGCGGTGCTGAGCTCCAGCGCGGAAGGAGCTCGCGAAGTGGCCAGCGGCCTTCTCTACGAAATCCTCGGCGACGCCAACCCCCTGAGGGTGGGCCCGGTCCCCGCCGCCACGCTGCCTCCCGGCTGCCCCGTCCGGAACCTCCCGGCGTATCCCGGCGACTTCCCCGCGCCCCGGCAGCCGGTCGCCGCGCGCCTGCCGACGAGCGGCACGCACCCGTAGTGCCGCGTGGCCGTCGCGGCGGCGTTCGTCAGGCCGCGGACGGCATCCCACCGCTCGGCGTTCGCTCTGAAGCTCACGTCCGCTCTGCCGTGTTCACCGTCAAACCGCAAGTTGCCCGCCCGCTCACTCGACGTGCTCACGTTGATCGGTTGTTGCCTCTGTGGCCGTACCCGTGAATCCCTTCCCAGGCCAGCGGGCGTGACCCCGTGACCTCGCCAGGTGTGACCCCGTGACGTCACCAGGCGTGACCCCGTGACCCCCCCAGGTGTGACCCCGTGACATCACCAGGTGTGACCCTGTGACGTCACCAGGCGTGACCCCGTGACCCCGCCAGGTGTGACCCCGTGACATCACCAGGCGTGACCCCGTGACGTCACCAGGCGTGACCCCGTGACCTCGCCAGGTGTGACCCCGTGACCTCGCCAGGCGTGACCCCGTGACGTCACCAGGTGTGACCCCGTGACGTCACCAGGTGTGACCCCGTGACCCCGCCAGGCGTGACCCTGTCATTACACTTTAATGAAAACCGACAACTGAATCCGTAAAAAAAAAATGATTTCAGGTGTTTGACGCGTCAACGCCATTTCGTTTTGAAAATGTCGGGGAGAAAAAAATATTTTTTTCACATCGCATTTTGATTCATCAAATAGAAAAACCCACTAATCCACCCACCCACACACTCGCTCACCCACTCACACACCCACTAATCCACCCACCCACACACTCGCTCACCCACTCACACACCCACTAACCCACCCACCCACACACTCGCTCACCCACTCACCCACCCACACACTCGCTCACCCACCCACACACTCGCTCACCCACTCACACACCCACTCACTCGCTCACCCACTCACCCACCCACACACTCGCTCACCCACTCACCTCACACACTCACCTCACCCACTCACCTCACACACCCACTCGCTCACTCACCTGTTCACACACACACTCACCCACTCATCTGTTCACACACTCACCCACTCACGTAGCGACTTTGCTACACACGGAGATGTCCGTGCACCGCCTCGTTTGCACAGCCTCTATCCCTGTGCCACGTGTAGTTCGTGCACACACAGCTGTTAAAGAGTTTGATGTTTTATCGATTTACAATTTACGTGTGTTTTTTCCCCGTAATGGTTTTTTGTTAATGTTTTAGCGGAAATAAAGTCCTGAAAAGTCTCTTCCTCTCTCTCTCGACTCTCTCGGCCGAGTATCTGCCACTGATGGTTGTGAGTGTCGCATGCTTGGGACCCGTCTTCCCCTCCTCTGCGGATTTAATTTGATGTGCTGATTCCGTTTAGAACAGGTCCCTGCGGGGTGGGCTGGTAGGAACGAACAAATGAATGGCTATAATAAAATGAAATGGCGGGGGTACGATACGAAGGGAGAGTTTGAGGCCTAGTTCTAGGCTTTAGGCCTAGCTGTAGGCTTTAGGCCGCTGTGAGTTAATTTGTAATTTAAATGTTTTCATTAAAAGCTATCTCAGGGAATTATAAGGGAATGTTACACTTCATCTTCTTGTTTCTTTCGGTAAAGTCACGTAGAAGGGAAGTAATAAAATAATAAAAATAAAACATAATAAAACAATTCTCACGACGTTTCGGCTACAACGCAAGCAGCCGTCTTCAGGTGAAGAATGAGACACTACCAAACTAGGAGCTTATATATAAGCTGCATTGGGGGTTGAAGAGCGCCTTAACAAAAAGAATGTGCATGTGAAGAGGGATTTAGCATATTCATGGAAAATGCGTAGGCGTTGGGCGGGGGGGTGTCAAAGTCATATTATGCCCATGCATTATGCAGGATCAGCAGCAACCAAGGGGGGTGCAGGGATTAGCAGTAACAAAGGAAAGGAATGTTAATGATATGTAGCTGCAGTTACTCAACAACCACGTAGAAAACTAAAGTATAAACTACATAAAAAACTAAAGTATAAACTGCATCGCACCATCAGTATACTTACTATACTCTATAATAAGCTGAGTTACTAACAGCAAGTAATACATTACAATTTTACCTCGTAAAAATTCTATAATATGCTTCCATCTAAACCTTATTCTCTTACATCACACGAGCATATACCGTACTATATACTGCCATAGATAAACCCAACATTAAATTATATACTGTATTGCTGTAAACCAACCTATATCTTATACATTTAATATCACACTATGTATTATTCTACACACCCTAATGTGTATCGAAATGGTTTATTACGTCCTTCCAATGATTGCTGAGCCAGAATCCATCTTCTCGGTTAAAGTTGTCTCTGTGTTTGTATATGTGGATCGCCTCATGAACGAATCTCTCATGATAGCCAGATGGCTTGCAGAGAACCTCTGTCTTGGAGAAGTCAATATCATGTGAGCCCACTGAGTTGTAACAGTGATCTGCCACGGCTGAGGTGTTAGTCCTACCGTGTTTCAGGTCAGCTTTATGTTCACGGATGCGGTCCGAGACATGTCGTTTGGTTTCCCCAATGTAACTGCTACCACAGAGGCAACTTAGTTTGTAGACGCCAGGGTACTGTATGTCTGGAACCACATCTTTTACAGACGGTACCAGATCACGGATTTTATGTACTGTGTTGAATCGGACCTGGATCTTGTGTTTAATCAGGATTTTGGAGATCTTTTTTGTGACCCCAGCAATGTAGGGTAAGGTGATGGTCTTGAAAGGCTCCTCAACAGGATCCTTCTTGATGGTTGGAGTGATGGCTTTGCGGATTGTATAGTCGGAGTAACCATTTGCCTTAAGAGCTTGGCGTACGTGTTTGAGTTCACTGGAAATGTGTTCATGGTCGGAGATGCATTGGGCTCTATGATATAGAGTCTTGATGAGGGAATTCTTCTGAGATGGATGGTGGTGGGAATCCGGTTTTAGATAAGCATCCGTGTGGGTGGCTTTCCTGTAGACAGAGTGGCTCATTGAACCATCAAGTCTCCTTTTGATTAGGACATCCAAAAAGGGTAGCTTGCCATCATTTTCGACTTCCATGGTGAATCTGATGGCTGGGTGTATGGAATTGATGTGGTCGAGAAATTGGTCTAGAGCAGGCCGGCCATGTGGCCAGATGACAAAAGTGTCGTCTACGTACCTCTTCCATAAGGTCGGGCGTAGAGTGGCAGTCTGGATGGCGTCCGTCTCAAATTTCTCCATGAAGATGTTGGCTACAACCGGAGATAGGGGGGAGCCCATTGGGGTGCCCTCAATTTGCTTGTAGAAGGTTCCATTCCAGGTGAAGTATGTATTGGTTAAGCAGTGTCTCACCAGGGGGGGTACCCCAGCATTCAGTCCTTGATGAACCAAGTCTTCAATGATTGCGATGGTGTCAGGCACAGGTACCTTGGTGAACAAGGAAACCACATCAAAACTGACAAGCAGGTCGTCTGGGGACAGGGCAATCCCCTTGATTGTCGATACCAGGTCAGTAGAGTTTAGTACTGCAGAGGTGGTTTTTCCAGTGAAAGGCCGTAGGATTTCGGACAAAAAACGAGCCAGTTTGTAAGTGGGGGAGTTGATAGTAGAGACAATGGGACGAAGAGGTGTATCTTCTTTATGTATCTTTGGCAAGCCGTACAATCTTGGTGGTCTGGCTGCAGAAGGTTTCAACGAGAACTGTTTGGTCTGATCAATTAATGCGGTTGAAGCAGAAATGATGTTGTTGGTTTTGGAGACGAGGCTGTTGGTGGGGTCTCTTTTTATTTTTGTATAGCTGCCATCGTTTAGTAGTTCTTGAATTTTGTTGTTGTATTCTATTTTGTCCATGATGACAGTGGCATTGCCTTTGTCGGCTGAGAGGATGACAATGTCATCCCTCTTTTTTAATTGAGCTAATTCAAAACGCTCCTCTTTGCTGATGTTGCTAGCTGGCATCTTAGCGTTTTTGAGGGTTACAGAGATTTCGGATCTTGCTACGTCTGCAGCGATGTGACTCAAGCCCTTGAGAGCTACATCTACTCGAGCAATTATATCATTAACTGGTATGTGTCTAGGTGTGACTGCAAAGTTTAGTCCTTTAGCTAAAACGGATTTCAAACCTTCAGAAATAGGACTGTTACTGCGATTAATTACGACTTTGTTAATATCTAGCTTTTCAATGTGTGGGTCCGGTTTCTTGTTTGAGAGGCGATTGAATTTGGAAATCAAGTTGTCCTTACATTTAGTCGACATAGCGGCAGCTGAAGAGGCAGTCATTTTTTCCACATGTTCCCAATCCGATGTGGACATTGTTACACTCAAAGATAAGTGTGATTTGTAGAGTGTCTTGTCTAACTGATCTAGTTCGGTGCGCGTAAGTCTGATTTTCTCTGAGATAAGAGCTAAGCTAGTTCTAGACAGAATTCGTTTCGCATTAGAAGAAGTTACAGCAGCAGATGTTAGTGTAAATGCGTTTGGTATTACCTTAGAGTCGCGGCATCTCTTCAGAAAGGTGAGAGACTCGATTAGCTGAGCCTTCTTATCCCGGAGCTTGTTGAAGGATCTCAAAGTTATGTGGAAACCCTCCCCGTAGAGGCGGTTAAATTTCGATTTAAAGCTTTCGTGACTGCAGGGATTCATCTTCTTGTTTCTTTCGGTAAAGTCACGTAGAAGGGAAGTAATAAAATAATAAAAATAAAACATAATAAAACAATTCTCACGACGTTTCGGCTACAACGCAAGCAGCCGTCTTCAGGTGAAGAATGAGACACTACCAAACTAGGAGCTTATATATAAGCTGCATTGGGGGTTGAAGAGCGCCTTAACAAAAAGAATGTGCATGTGAAGAGGGATTTAGCATATTCATGGAAAATGCGTAGGCGTTGGGCGGGGGGGTGTCAAAGTCATATTATGCCCATGCATTATGCAGGATCAGCAGCAACCAAGGGGGGTGCAGGGATTAGCAGTAACAAAGGAAAGGAATGTTAATGATATGTAGCTGCAGTTACTCAACAACCACGTAGAAAACTAAAGTATAAACTACATAAAAAACTAAAGTATAAACTGCATCG